TATGATGCTTTTAATAGTTTTAATACAGTTCTCCAAAACTCACATTATGAAAAATAGTAAATAGTAATGACTGCAAATCGCAAACTGTATCGAAACTGTATTCTAACAAAATTATGACTTTACAAAAACACAATAGACATGAGAACATATGATAAATAAAACTGTATTTAACAAATAGTTTTAACATTTTGTGATTCTATTTCATATTTTAACTTTCACAAACTGTGAATATATTGTTTAAAGTAATTACCACTTTTTAACTTTTCAAATCTTATTTTATGCTTTCAGAGCACGAAGAATGTCCTTTCTGCAAATGTTCTTGTTGCAGTTGTAATTTAGTTGATTTTTTTATTCATATCAAGGTGACATTATTCTACTAACTCTTCAACCACTGATCATTAAAAGGACATTTAAAAAAATAAAATAAAATAACAAATTAGTATTACCTAGCATGTTGCCTTAATCAAACATGTTTATTATCTGGAACATTGAGTTTACCTGTTTTTTCAGGTAAACACTGTTAAAAAGAGATTAAACAAAACTGGAAAGAAATGTAATGGTTCGGGGAGAAATACGAGATTTTTTTGGTGCATGCATACCAGTGAATTATTCATGAGATATATCATAAATCTAATCAAGGAGAACAGACTGCAAATGTGCAGCATGTGTTGCTTTTTTCATATTGTATACAGCATAATCACATGTCACATTAAAATATCAAGCTTACATTATTCTCCTGACATCTAAAGGAAATCGTACAGTTCATTCAGTCAAACTGATGGATAAGGATTATGATTATGATTTGCAATTATTTGTTTCAGTCTTTTTGAACAGTACTTCTCCAAACCAAAAGTGCCTCCCCTAATTTAAAACACAAGATCCTCATTAGGAAAAAGGTGGATAGGGACTATAATAAAGCTTATCGGCGCACAATCAATACTAATGTGATGTTTGGTGGAATCCAATTAACAAGAATTGCTTTTGTCCTACGCATCCTAATGAAGCAAATGTGCATATGTGTTTTAGCCACAGGACGTTCCTGATGGGCACCGCGCGCCCCCGCCCCTCCCCCAGCGCAGCAGCAGCATACGCAGTATTGACACACAGACGCCCTCCAACGGCGGCCTCGGCAGTAACCGTAGCAACAGCAGCAGCCGGGCTGACTCTGTCTCACCGTCGTACCTCAGCATCCTCAACGACACGGTCGGAAACAGCCCGCTCGATGACACGCACAACGAGAGCAAAGAAAGAGGTCAGAAGCACACCCAGCATCACCATCGTCATCACAATAACCTAACATCAAACTATATGAATCCTAAATATTCCTTTTTCCTGTCTTAGACCTAGGACCTTGGTCTCCTCTGCCCAAATATGCTTCATCTCCAAAGCCCAACAACAGCTATATGTTCAAACGTGAGCCTCCGGAGGGCTGCGAGAGAGTTAAAGCTTTTGAAGAAAACCAGTGAGTAAACCGCTTTGTAGACATTTGGTCTGTATGTTGGTGTCTTTTACCTATGAATAAAGTATAAAATAGGGTTTGAAACTAAGTGTTTTTTTTTCAATTTCAACACAGAGTCAGTTGAAGCAGCTATACATTTAGAAAATGTCATTTGTCCAAAATGTTATGAGCTATTTAATGTTTTATGTTTATGTATTGCATTTTTTTTTTCAACCGTGTTAGCAAAATATTTGTTTGAATACTGTTTAAAAAAGGTCTGTGATTTTGTTATTTTGTAAATAAATAAATAAACAGAATACGAAATATATGAAATAATGATAGATATGAAATAAATTCAAATAAAATACATTTAGAAATAAATTATAGCTAAGAAAATTAGGTAACAGGGTTGTAGATTCAGCCCAAATGAAGCTGTAATTACAGCAATTACGGACTAGCTACTTTGGAATCAAATATTTGTAGTTTGATAAAAACAAAACCTATAAATTAAAGACAAATATTTGTTTGATCATTTTTCCCAAAAATTATGGAAGCCCATTCTCGCCTTGCTTTGGTAAATCATAACTATGACATTAAAAGTCAAAATTATAACATAGTAAGTCATAAATATGAGGAATAAAAGTCAAAATTATGACAAATTAGACATTATGAGATAAAATCAATTATGACAACATCTTAGTCATAATTATGAGGCTAGTCATAGTCAGTTATATGCCACAAAAAGTCTAAATTATGACATTAAAAGTTGAAACTTTCGGTCACCATTGACTTTTTTATCTCAATTTAAAATTTTGTCAGAATTTTGTCTTAATATGTCATAATTATGATTTATCAAAGCAAAGCAAGATTTTTTTTTTTCTTATTTGGCCAAAATGGGCTTTCATACAAAATAACTTTGGTAACAGAATTGAAAAGTGATTGAAGTGATTGAAAAGTAATTTGTGTAAAACATATATATTTTTTAATTATAAAAGTACTGCTGAGGTGGGCCCTTGGACTTTAAAAAAAGTGATGGTACACTCGTTTGTATCTCATGCGTGGAAAATAGCAAGACTTAGTTATTTTGTAATAAAGGTTTCCTCACATAAAAAAGAATTGTGAGGGATTTAACTGCCAGGAACATTCATATTTTTATCAGTATAAAAGATGCTCATCTTCACGAAAGAGCCATGAACTGGTCTTTCCATCTTCTGTTCCAGGCCAAGGCCTCTCCAAGCGATTCCTCCTTATCTCTGCCCAGACAGAAACAAGGTGAACTTCATTCCCAAAAGCGGCTCTGCTTTCTGCCTGGTGAGCATCTTGAAGCCTCTGCTGCCCACCCAGGAGCTGAACTTCCGTAGCGGGGTGGGATACCGCAGCATCTCCCCGTCATTGGTGCCTCTGGGTGGGGTCGCGGTGAGGAGCCTGTCCCCCTCCATGGGTCCCGTCTTGTCCCGTGGACGTCAGTCACCATGCCTCCCACGACATCTTGAGGAGCCAGAAGGTTAAAACAGAACAGAGGAATCTCAGCTGATGAACAGAGATGCCATTTTTCCCACACTCCTGTATCGTCTGATAGAGTCAGAGCTTTGTTAGGAATTTATTCAAAAACCGGTTCTGAACAACTCCGAGAGATATCAGTCTGAAACTTGAACATGAGTATTTTTTTTGTGTGTGTTCTAAGGGTAATGGTTACGTGTTAAACGAGGATCAAAAGGAGGTTTTCAAGATGGTCTATGTATATAGATGAAACATTTTTAGTATTGCACTGCTTTTTACTTTCTCAACTATTTATTGCATTTTACCATGAAGCCTTTGAATTTTCTTATGTATAGCTGCATCCTTTAACCTAAACAAAAGTTTGGAATAACTAAGATTTTTGAAAGATGTCTCTTAAGCTCACCAAGGCTGTATTTATTTGATTGGAAATACAGTAAAACAGTAATATTGTGAAATAATATTACATTTTAAAATGTGTTCTAAACGTCATTTAGTCCTGTGATGGCAAAGCTGTATTTTCATCATTTTTCAGTATCACATGATCCTTCAGAAATCATTCTAATGTGTTAATTTGGTGCTCCAGAAACCATTTCTTAAAATCATTGTTGAAAACAGTTTTGAAGAAATTAATAAATTCATTATTTTATTCAGCAAGGATGCATTAAACTGATCAAAAGTGACAGTAAAGACATTGATAATGTTACAAAACATTTGTGTTTCAAATAAATGACATCTTTGACATCAAATAATCCAGAAAAAAGGATTTCCACAAAAATATTATGAAGCTGTTTTCATCATTAGTAATAATAAGAACTGTTATTAATAGAGTACCTATAGTAATTCTGAAGGGTCATGTGACACTGAAGACTGGAGTAATGCCTGCTGAAAATTCAGCTTTGACATCACAGGAATACATTATATTTTAAAATATATTAACATAGAAACCAGTTCTTTTAAATAGAATTTACAGTTACTACTGTATTTTAATCAAATAAATCCAGCTTTGGTGAGTATAAGAGACTTCTTTTAAAAACACAAAAAAAAAAATCTGAATTTTTCCAAACTTTTGACCTGTTGTGTAAATGTAAGTGATTTGATTTACTAGGGAAATTGAGGTTTTAGGTCACAGTTTTGCTTGCTTATAGTTTACATGCAGTTTGAATAGTCCTGGAAAAACAACTGGAAATGTTGTAGCAGACTTGAGGAGGACTAACAAATGTGCCTGACTCCCTCCACTCGTTCGTGGACCCCATTTGCATACAGTCTGTCCCTACATCCAGTCTCGCCCCTTAAATGTATAGAGCCCTTCCCCATATACATAACCGTTATGTGCTTAATGTGATTTGCTGGTGAGAGGATGTTTTGATGGTACACGAACAGCCTGGACACGCATTAGGAGGAGACATAGATGAAATGTACTGGACAGTATTATGATTATGATGCACTCATCAGTTCTGTTGCTAAATTTCAAGATTAGTTCAACAGAAAGGTGTCATTACTGTCATTTCAATCGAGTGAAGGAAAATAGATCAGACTATCATTCAGAGCACACTGGATATGAAAGACAACGAGAGAAAAGGGATGCAAATAATTTAAAAAAGGGAGGCATGGCTTTAGCTAATAGTGAACTGATTTGAACTGTAGCATCTTTATACTGTGAAATTTACCATTAATCACACCGTAAAGCTTCCTTTCTTCCAAAAATAAAAAAGTTGAAAGAAAACGGGCAATTCTGAACAAATTGTATGTAATTGCCTTAATACTGAATTGTGTGTAAATTAGACTGGTGCCTGTTAAGTGAATTTAAGATTTTTTTCTTTCTGTGAATACATTTCAAGATGGGTGTAACTCTGGTTTCTTGCCAGGATAAAATTGGATTTTATATTGATTATACTGACTAATAACAATCAGAAACGGAATTCTACTCAGATTTATTTGCTCTCAAATGCAAAATCTCTCAATCCAGTCTCCTTCAATGAAATTGTACATTATTTAACCGAAACGAAGGCAAAGTTGCATAAAATAAACAGATGAAAGAAGCTGCGAATGGTGCGGTGTACATTCTTTTTCTTACAAACAAAAGTGATACAATAGCATCCAAACACAAAGTGACACTTCAAAATGTTTAAACCACTCAAAGACAAAAACGTGCTCCATTAAATATGGAGTGAAATCCTGTGCGAAATGTACAGACAAAGCTATTCAGATCAACGAACATGTCTATGCTTAAAACAGACAACATACATTCTAGAACAATCCGAGACGGGACTCGGATACAGTTTAGTGCAAGCGATAACTTGATTTCTTCAATGCAACAGAAAACCGATTGGTCACTCCTGATGAGACTAAGCATGATCATCTGGGATAAAATGAAATGTGTAACGTTTTCTAGAGTAGGATATTTAGGTAAACCTGTGCTAAAGGTGACAAACCAAATAAAATCACATACAAAAACATTCCAGTGTTTTGCATCACAGTGTGACAGTGAAGAACATTTGGGAGATGTAATTTCTCTGCGTGAGAGCATTTCAGCATTTCTGTCACTGAAAACAAGAATGCATCACCTACGATTAGCTCCATTAAACTGTGACCTTCTCATTCCCACCAAACTAATGGCACAGCACACAACTTGCATATGTAGTTAACAGTAACACTTTTTTTATTAGATTAATACATAATTTGATTTATTTTATCATTTAGGGTTAAACTAATCCAGACTCCAAAAAATATTTGTGATTTACACGCAACTTCACACACTTTGGGTATCGGTCTTAATTAAAAATAGTCTATAATTTATAATGGATGTTATAAATCTGTAACCCTGTTTCTGGACATTAAAACTCCCATCGTACAAAGCAAACAGATATGCACACATTTACGCAGGTTTGGTCCTAGGCAAAAAAGCCCCTCATATACGAGATGGGCAAATCCTCACCTTCACGTCCCTTTAAACATGTGCACTTCATAAAGTAACAGATTCTTTGCTCTCAGGTAACAACACTATAGGTGTCCTAATGAACATACAGTAAATTCACGCACACAATGAAAGAATGGAGAAAAGAGAGACATTCCCATATCTCAGAAACCTTCCAGTGTTTTATATGGATAGAGATTTCTGGATGCTTCCTTGGCTCAGGTTGAATTGTTTCAGGAGAGGTAGTGATCCAGCTCCGAATAAAGGCTTGGGATATGCACTCCTTTCCATCAAAGAATATTTTGGATGTGATAGAGCTCCAGACCATCCTTCACTGAGGGAGGTAAAAGGCTGCGTTATGACATGCACAATCTCACCTTTGCAATACAAGATTACTTATGACAAGTAAAGCCATATTTATAAGTATTATACACAGTATATATATATATATATATATATATATATATATATATGTGTGTGTGTGTGTGTGTGTGTGTGTGTATATGTATGTATATGTATATATATACTGTATATATACTGTATATATACATATATATAGACACTAGTGCTGTCAAACGATTAATCGCGATTAATGCATCCAAAATAAAAGTTTTGGTTTACTCAATATATGTGTGTGTACTGTGTATATTTATTATGTACACTGCCGTTCAAAAGTTTGGGATCAGTAAGACTTGTAATGTTTTTTTTAAAGAAGACTCTTATGCTCATCAAGGCTGCATTTATTTGATCAAAAATACAGATTAAAAACAGTAATCTTGCAAAATGTTATTACAATATAAATAATGGTTTCTATTTTAATATCCTTTAAAACATCATTTATTACTGTGATGCAAAGCTAAATTTCCATCAGCCATTACTCCAGTATAAAGTGTCACATGATCCTTTAGAGATCATTCTAATATGCTGATTTATTATTAGAATTATCAATGTTGGCAACAGTTGTGCTGCCAAAATTTTTGTTTTGGAAACTGTGATGCTTCTTTCAGGATTCTTTGATGAATAAAAAGTTTTTATTCAAAATATAAATCTTTTCTAACAACATAAATCTTTGCTATCACTTCTTAACAATATAACACATCCTTGCTGAATAAAAGTTTTACTTTCTTTCAAAAAAAGAAAGAATAAAGATTGACTGACCCCAAACTTTTGAATGGTAGTGTATATTGTTAGAAAATATTTCTATTTTAAATAAATACTCTTCTTTTTAACTTCATCAAAGAATCCTGAAAAAAAGTATCACAGGCTCCAAAAAATATAAAACAGCACAACAGCTTTCAGCACTGATAATAAATCAGCATATTAAAATGATTTCTGAAGGATCACGTGACACTGAAGACTGGAGTCAGCTTTGCATCACAGGATTAAATTAGATTTTAATATATATTAAAATAGAAAAACTTTATTTTACATCATATTAATATTTCACAATATTAAATTTGTTGATATTTGAAAACATTTACATGTATTTACATGTATATTTTTATATTCATATAATTTATAATATAAATATATTTAATATATAAACGTAACTTATTTTTCTTAAATATATACATGCATGTGTTTGTATTTATATACATAATAAATATACACAGTACACACACATATATATTATGTAAGCAAATATATATATATATATATATATACCAAATATAACATCAACAACAAAAAAGGTGTGTTTTTATAAACATGGGACTTGTCGGTGCTAAATATATACAAACTCACAATAACACACCTTAGGCATTAAGGAACTCCTGATCACTGCGTCCAATAGCATCTGGGTTGGACAGAGGGTCCAAATCTGCAAAGAGGTTAAACCAGGCAGACATGTCCCTGGAGCTTCCCTTAGGTGCTAAAAAGACACAGAGAGAAGAATCACTACAGAAACAGTACAAAAAAGACCATCTAAGATTGTCTGTATCCATCTGTTAATTTTTGACATGTGAAATAAAACTCTCACCACTGGCAGATGAGTGTGGACTATTCTGGGTAGGCTGTCCTCCACTGGAAGGTGGTTGGAGGGGCGGGGCTTGAAACATAGGTGGAGTCGCCCATCCTGAACAACAGAAAGAGAATGAATATGAACATCACAGTGACTGCACTGAATACTAATCGCACAACAAAACTGTGTTGTTCGTTCCTCCGGCCAGTAGAGGGCAAATAAAAGTTTGTGCAAACCTGTGGCGCTAAGGCTATGGTCCAGGAGCTGTGATGGGAGGAAGCCAGTGGGTGTGTTTGCCGTTCCTGTTTGCAGTGAAGGAGCGGTAACAGGAGCAGGAGGGGCCTCAAAACAGCCGAAAGCATCCTGCCATGCCTTACTAAACTCACTAGTGCCACCCGCAGCCCCAGGACTCAGCAGATCCTGCAGGAAGGCCAGGTCACCTCTCTCTCCCTCCTCTTCTTTCACCTCAGACAACAGATCCCTGCCTACTACAATAAAAATAAGGAGATAATCAGGCTTTTACACTGCAAAAAGCAAATTGCTTCCTCAGTACTGTTCTTTTTTTCTGGTACAAATATCTAAACATTCTTTAATCTAGAAACATTTACTTTAATCAAGAAAAATGTACTTTAGAAGGCAAATTATATTAGATACTAAGACTTGTTTTCTGAAAATGTATTTAAATTAGGTGAGTTTAATATTAAAACAAGAAAAAAATCTGCCAGTAGTGTCAGAAAAATCTGAAATTTTTTTTCTTACCATAATGGCAGGTGTTTTTTTTTTTGTTTTAACTCACTCATTTTCCAAAAAACAAGACTTGCAATCTCATGTCATTTTGCTTCTCAATTAAATGCATCTTGGTTTTTAGAATATTTAGATATTTGTACTGGAAAACAAGACAAAAAAAAAGGAGACTGTAAAAACTTTTTACAGTAGTGTAGCGCAGCAGAAGTGTAGTAAAAGAATCACAGAGAAGCTTCAAGAAAAACATGGTTGCGTAATCAAAACATAAGAGGTCAATTTAGGTTTAATATGTGAAAAAAAGTTCCCAAAATCTTTCAAGAGTGCATAAAAATCGAACAGAACGTAAAAAGCTGGGGGAAAAGAAAGTAACCTTGAGGAAAGTACAGTTTTTAAAAATGCTGGAAACACCTGGGGGAAAAAAGTCAGAAACACCTGGAGAGATTTAAGAGTGGAGAAGGAAATCTAAAAGAGCCGTAAGCATAAAATGTTTCTGAATAATTCCTATGAAACCTAAAAGACTGATAGATGAGGGTGTTAAAACACATCCAAAGGGGGGGTTTAAGATTGATTTTAGAGAGTAAGAACAGGTGCTAAGTGAGCCCTGGGCATTGAAGAGATGCCCAGTCAAGCATTTATACCTATTTCAGGTGGTAGACTGCTGGGAAAGGTATCTTGCTTTCCCTCATGTGATACGCCTACGCCCCACTGAATAGCAGAAGGCTTTGAGGCCTCCTGCAGTATCTGAGGCTGCATAACGGACATGGATGGGTGTAGGGTTGGAATGAGAGAAGGGGTCGAGCCAGGCTCAGGGGTCAATAATAGGAGGTCATCATCTGTGCTATCTCCACCAATAGGGCCTAATTGTTCATTCAATGCTGCAGTACAGGGGCAGAGATGAAGATGAGAAATAAAAAAAGGGATATTGTAAATAAAAGCTGCTCAAACACACTAGGAGTTGCACAGACTATACAAAAAGTTGATTAGTTCTATCAATATTTGATGCTTTAAGTCTGTGTCAGCTGATCATATGACTTCAGTTGTGCTGCTTCTTCACTGAAGTGAAATTAAATCTAGGGCTAAGTGATATGACTATATATATATAAAAATTCAAACATTTAAAAAAATCTTTTGAAACCATTTTCCAATTAATTACATCATTGTAATTAATTATTATATATGTGCTTATGTAAGGATTTGAATAACAATTAAGCTGACTAAATTACTGCCCAAAATATCTAAAACATCATTTGCAATTTATTTTAATAGTTGACTATGTTTCTGGATGACTAGTCAATTAGTAGCAATGAGTAGTGGGGCAAGGCCTAGTATGCAAACACACACACACACACACACTTTACCAGAGTCCAGACTGGCACACAAAGAACTGTCAGATCCTCTACTCTGACCATCTACCGCACGAGTAGAAACTGTTAAATACACAAAGAAAGTGCACTTTTTTAAGAAACTTGAGCCAATAGAAAATCATTAGGCAATCCTGCATGTTCCCAAATGTGCTTTAAAAACGAAACGTACCAGTATCGGATGATTCACCCAGCTGTTCATCTTCAAGTGAAACAAGACTGAAACATAAACATACAAACACCAAATTGAATTAATAGACACCCTGATGCATGGTTAAATGGATGCAGAGAAGAGATGATTCACATTACTATGACACACAGTATCAGATTAGAATTACGAAACACCTTAAATTAAATCTAAATTGACAAATTGTAGTGAGTCACAGCGATATTTCTAGGAAGCGGGTGAGGGTCATCACAATTTTATACAACAGCATGTCTAACGCAGATGGCACAGGAATAAATAAACTGTCTCCTTTTCCGCTGCCAAGACAGGAAATGACAGTGGAACTTTAAGCAGTGTTTCCTGTTCACAAAGGTAGCAGGAGTTTCTAAAAGAATTACAATGTTCCACTCACAGATCAGTAACCAGAGCCTTCAAAGAGGCCCCTTGCCTGAAGAGACCTAATCTGAGGGACACGGAGGGTTGCAGAGAATGAGGAAAGAGAGTGAATGAAAGATCTGACAATGAGAGGCAAGCAGGGTGCCTTCAAGGGAAAATACATGCTTTCTTGATGAAAAAAAATGAAGAAAACTGAGACCGCTAGATTTGTCTGTGTGAGATTCAATGACCATATGATATATATTACACACAAAACACATAAAAAAGAAGATGAAAATGGCTGGCTCATGGCCAAACTATTTCTAACTGTGTTCTCACTTGTCTGGATGTGTCTTCTTTTCCTTGTCTTTGCTGTCCTCTGCTGTCTGCGTGGAGACAATTTGATCCAATGGGTCCCTTAATTCCTGTAATGAGTCAAATGAGAGCTTAAATCTCATGACAACAGTTTAATTTCTGGGATTTGTGCATGGACACCTACTTTAAGGGTAGTGAACTGGTAAGGTACATATCCTTTGAAGGCCTCATGGATGCCAGACATCACATGTGCAGTCTTCTCCCAGTACTGTAATAGCGTTGTCTACAGAAAAAACAATACAGGATGAGAAAAGGTTTAAAAAATAAGAGTGAAACAGGTTTAATAAGGAAATTATTATTAAGGGTATTACACATTTTACCTGGTAAGTACATAAGGAATGTGAAAGCATGTTGCAGCGACTGGCGCCCAGCATGACCACTTTCTGACACACGTCATTCTTCAGCTTATCGAAATGCACTTTTGTTCCTCTAACCTGGGCCTGAACCTGTTCACAAACATACACAGATAACAGACACTTCAACCTCCATGTTGTATACAGATGCAAGCCCCCCCTTCGATTGCTCGCTGACCTTGCGAAATTTTTCCAGTTGTTTGTAAGTATCTGGGTCCAGTTCCTGTGAGACGTCCTTCATCCATAGCAGAGCTCCGCGGTACTCAGTACGGGCTTTCTCCATCCGGCTCACGGTCAGCAGGGTGTCTGCGATGGCTCTCCTCCGGAACGTCTCCACTTCCTGTTCCAAACGATGGAGAGGGGGACACAGCGCCAACCTAGACATGACAGAGAAATTGTTGCCAGTGGCTTAATCACATGATTGTTGAGTGACTCTAGCCGAAGGAAAGAGATGTTAGTGCGTCTTTAGTGTTTGCAGAATATAAAAATATTCTTTCTAGGGCTGCCAATGTAACTTATAATGAATTGTAATAATTGAGTAATTAATCAGAAGTGAAAAAAAAACAGAACACTAGTGAAAATGTTTCTATGTTGGCATTATTTTTCCAATTTAATAAATTAAAAGAAAAAAATTATGTGTGTGTGCGTGTGGTGTTCAAAAAACTTTTTTTATTATTATCAATGTTAAAAATGGTTGTGCCGCTTATTTGTGAAGACTGTAATTCATTTTTACAGGATTCTTTGAAAAGAACAGCATTTATTTGAAATAGAATTTTTTGATGAATTTAATGCAGCCTTGCTGAATAACAGTATTCATTTCTGACTTAAAAGCTTTTGAAAGAGTGTATACATATACATAATATTCATACATATATACATACCCCGACCAAACTGCATAGTTGTTGGATGACTAGTTGATTAGTCAACCATCATGACCCATTCCCTAACTGCAATGTATTCAATCATGACATATGCACGTATTAACTATCAAAGTATCCTGAAATAAATTGCATTAATGATTTGAAGCCCTGATTTGTTAATATTTGAAGAAGAGTGCCTACCTTTGCTTGGCAGAACAGCAGAGGGCTTTACTGGTGGCGTCCATCATACTGCCTGCTTTTGTTTTATCATGCTCTGCCTGGAAGCGCAAGAACAGTCCGAGCTCATTCTCCTCTTGAGAGAGGTCTGAAGTGAGGAGGTCACAGGAGGCAAAAACAGGGTTACTACAATAACTCATAGTATTATAAACAATATGTGGCTTGATTATATGTGCTGAGCGTTATCAAGTATGAAAACCACAAAAACACATTCGTAGGGTTATGCTTAAAATTGACTCAACAGTTACAGCATTCATGGAAACTGAGAAAATGTACTGTATTCCACTGCATGCAGAGGCTCTCAAAACAAGCTGAACAAGACTCTTTGTGTTTGCACACACAAAGAGGGTAGAAGATCATGTTCCTCACTCACGTATGATTCTTTGCTGGTATTTCTCAATCACTTTCAGGAGTTCTGTGCAAGTGCTCTGGACTGAATAGAAAAACTGGAGGAAACAGATAACACATTATCATTAACAAATGCAATTAATACAGGTAGTTCATTATTTTAGTTTTTATTACAAATGTTAAAAAGGAAGCAGCACTTCTGTGTTTGTTGCAACACACCAAAATATCTCTGAACCCTTCATTCTTTTCAGCATTTATATACTCAGATGGAACATTTGGTCACCCACACTAAAGACTCAAAAAACACATCAGAACACAAAAAATTGCCTTTCCAGTTTTGCTGTCATGGCAACAAAGGATGTTAAGTCCCTGACTGTCTGAGAGAGCAGGAGAATGTGCTCTACCTGAAACAAGAAACTCACAGAAATGACACAAATAATATAAATGACTCATTCTGTTGAGCTGCCTTTGTTCTAGCGAGAGTTTCAAAAGCTTTGAGAAGCCAAATATAGGAACAGGACCAATTCCAGCATTCAATAGTGGGATGAAAACACTGGGCTATAGAAAACACCAGTGAAACCCCAACTCACATTCTAAAACCTTGAGAATAGCAGTAGGCACACAATAATTAATGCTTTTATTCAGCAAAGATGCACTAAACTGATCAAAACTTACAGCAAAGACATTTATAATGTTAAAAAACATTTCTATTTCAAATAAATGCTGTTCTTTTGAACTTTCTATTTGTTAACAAATCCTGAAAAGTATGAGTTTCCAAAAAGTTTTTTAAACACCAAATCTGCATATTAGACCGTTTTCTGAAGCATCATGTGACACTGAAGACTGAAGTAATGGCTGCTGAAAATTAAGCTTACATCACAGAAATAAATCACATTTTAAAATATATTCAAATAGGAAAAAGGTTATTTTTAATTGTAATGATATTTCACATTATTACTGTTTTTTGACCAAATAAATACAGCCTTGGTGAGCACAAGAGTCAATGCTGAAAATCTTACAGACCCCAGACTATTGAATGGTAGTGTAGGTGGTAATTTAGCAGATGCTGTTATCAAAAGCGACCTGCATTATACTTATTATGGGCACAATAGTGATAGTTCATGGCTCACACCAGCAACCTTCCGGTTACCAGACTTAAGCCTTCGCAACTACTGCATTTAAGCAGGTTTGTAAGGAAAGTATTCAAATAATCATAGTCGGGGAGGGAAAAAATCCATATCTACTTCAGAAAAAAGTATTACTAGGGTCATTTCTTATATTAATAAAGTATATTAATGTGGATCAAATTAAATATGGCATCCACCCAGACTAAGGTCCATGTGTGCTGATGCAGGTGAGGTCTGCTTTCAGGTTACTGTTTAACTCTGTGTACAGGCCTGACAAACATGCAAGAACAACACCCTCAGGAATCAGGTTTGTACAACAGCCTCTGCTAAATAAACACTGTTATTGAATTTACTAATGTAAAATTCTGCCATTTCGCACCATAAGGATGATGCATTATTGTTTTCAAGTTTATGCTTTGTTACCAAACAGGCTAAAAGCCAATTCATAAGGGCAGCTGTGGCTCAATGGAGAAAGAACATGGATACACCTGTTCATTAAGCAAGCAGCCGGGGGGCTTACGGTGGCCTGTCTTCTGCTCTCCTCTTTGCTGGAAACCATCTAATGCCCCAAATATTTAAAAGGATAGTTCACCCAAAGTTGAAATTTTTGTCATCACTTACTCCCCCTCATATTACTCCCAACCCACAAGTCAAAAGTCATACAGGTTAGGAATGACATGAGTTTGAGATGACAGAATTTTCATTTTTTGTGTGAACTATGCATAAAAATCTGGGACAAAATTCCCCTAAAGTAAATTTATCTGTTTGATTTATCTGTTATTTTAGGTCTATATAGTTAACGTTTGAAACATCCTAGTGAGCTTAAATAATGATGCTGCAAGATATTGCAAAAAGTGTGTGCCCACAGACTTCACAGAGTCTCAGGACACATATTTCAGTGCTATCTGTCAGGTGGGAGAATTTAGGTATAATATTGTTTTTAAAAAATAACTTTATTTGATATAATTTAAGCAAATAAATGGATATCACTTTGGGTATTATATAAAAATGTCCTCATACAAGGTATAAAGGTATACTACAGTCAAAAAGTTTGGGGCTGATAAGATGTTTCTCCAATTCTCACCATGCTGCATTTATTTGACCAAAAATATAGGAAAAAACAGCAATATTGTGAAGTACTATTACAATTTAAAATACACATCTTCTGTTTTAATATACAGTGGGTACGGAAAGTATTCAGACCCCCTTAAATTTTTCACTCTTTGTTATATTGCAGCCATTTGCTAAAATCATTTAAGTTAACTTTTTTTCCTCATTAATGTGCACACAGCACCCCATATTGACAGAAAAACACAGAATTGTTGACATTTTTGCAGATTTATTAAAAAAGAAAAACTGAAATATCACATGGTCCTAAGTATTCAGACCCTTTGCTCAGTATTTAGTAGAAGCACCCTTTGGATCTAATACTTTAAAATGACATTTATTTTTGTGATGGAAAAACTCAATTTTAGTAGACATTACTCCAATTTTAAGTGTCACATGATACATCTGAAATCATTTTAATGTGTTTTTTTGGTGCTCAAGTAACATTTCTTATTATCAATGTTGAAAACAGTTGTGTTGATTAATATTTTTGTGAAAACCATAAACAAAACAAAAAAAGTAAAACAAAATGATAGAAAGTTAAAAATAACCATATTTGTTTGAAATTTTTAAATGTCTTTACTATCATTTTTGATCATTTAATGCACCCTTGCTGAATGAAAGCATTAATTTTGTTTTTACAAAACGGCAGTGCACAGTACCTTGTTCATTTCTGACACAGCATGGCTGAGTTTGTGTCACCTAAGAGTGAGTCTGTGTATCCTACCTAAATCTGCTTTAGACTGCTGTTAAAAAAAGACATACACATTTATAGGGAATGCATTGCTTGAATATGTAAAGAGGGAAAGGGAGAAGAAAAGGCAGTTTTGTGTGTGTGTGTGTGTGTGTGTGTGTGTGTGTAAAAGAAAGGCAGTCAAGACAGAGACAGTGCCAGGGCCATTTAGACTGACTCTCTGTACACAGTGGTAAAATCAAGCACAGTTGATCAAAGTATAGCATCATATAGAGATCTGTTCATCTTCTCTCTTCCCTGTGATCATGTGACAGTACACCATTAACCTCCCTCCATCTCATTCAGTCATTTCTCTGTCGTTGTCAGGCAAACACATCAAACGAAAAAATAAATAATTTGCTTTCAGATGTTAAAAAACAGAATGAGTCATACACAGTCACTGAAAGAAAAAACCTGGCCCAGTGATGCTTCACTTTCACCCACAGCTGAAATAGAGGTCATTTTACGACATTTACAAGGGTGCTCATACCTCCAATTTGGCATCAAGATCTGCATCAGATGCCACCACATGCTCATCTTCTTTCTTCCCTGTGGCCTTGATCAGAACCTGCTTGGTCTTCCAGAACTTCTTCTGCATTCGGGCCATGACCGAGCTGTCCTCCCCCAGAACTGCTCTGCCACTGAACATGTCACTGGAGAACCTGAAAGAACATGCCATGTTCTTCAGATATACTTGTTATTAAAATCGAATCTAAGAAGAGGAGGGGTACCATTCATTGGACAAAGTCAAGATACAAACCCATAGCTGTCCATCTTCTTGATGAGTGTGGCTTAAATCTGCAAGTGGGATAGAAATATTGAATCAAATCTTGGGTCACAAGACCTGCACTACCAGTCATTCTTTTAAGAAACTGATATATTTATTAATGTAGAATGCATTCAATTGATATTCTATGATGTTACAAGTTATTTTTATTTCAAATATTTTTATAATTTTATTTCATTGAATCAAAGTCATGATATTTCACAACAATACAGATTTACTGTATTTATCAAATATCTGCAGTTTTGGCGAGCATAAGAGAAATTATACAGACTTTTACAAATACATATACGCTTAAAAAAGTTATTAAAACATTTTATTACTTACATTTCGAAAATCAGTGGTAGCATTCAGCAGACACTGAAATAACTGGATAAAATACCAAAAATGTTTTGTTTTTTTAAATCAATAAAAAACTTTTTTTTTCTCAATATTATAAATAGGTGTCACTGCTGCACAATGTAAATAAAAGAAACACTTAATAAGGCAAAAATAAATGAAATGCCCTTTGCAAACTGCTGTCTTTTTGTTCTTTTGAGGTAACAGCTGTTAGCTCTCACAAAGACTGCCATGTCTCTCACGGTCACAAATACCCAAAATCAATGACACATACTGCATCTCCCCACACCCACACACACACACACACCCACACACACCCACACACACCCCACCCACACACACACACACACACACACACACACACACACACACACACACACACACACACACACACACATAATAAGTGTACTATAATAAGAACCTACTTTGTTTTAAATAAACCATGTATTCCTAGCGTATACAGGACGACTCTCTGAAAAGATAAACGAATAAATATTGTAAAACTAAAAAGACAGTTACCGGATCCCAAACAAGATAAGGAGTCATCGAGCTCTCGCTGCGTTTCCCTTTAATAACCCTATTAACTTAGAACACACATTTGACATGGCGACTTCAGTCTGCAGTTCGAAACCGACACTATACGGGTCCTGATCAATTACAGTTTGCATTCATTAAATATGAGTGTATACATTTGAAGGAATTGTTGTTAGGGCATCGCATTTCCTTACCCGCTGACGTTGCCTTGAGCACCGATGGGAACGTTCACGCACGTCATTCCCGTGAGCTGAGAGGCAGCGAGTGCGCATGCGCAAAACAGTCAGCCCAGACACAAGCTCATAGCTCTCAATGGATTGAGGAAAATATTCATATCGTTCTGTTAAGGTTTAATTTAAAGTATACTGGCCAAGTGAAACTGCTCTTGTGGGGAATTAAACAGAGAACAAAATGTATTGTAGGACTATAGCTATAACAGGCCTACGATATAGAGTATAAGAGAACCTTTTGTGGTTGTATTGTTCTTTTGTAAATTGCTTTGAATAAAAGTTACAGCTAAAATGATTTATGTAAATGCACAATATAGTAGGCTACAATAACTCTGCTTAAAAATATATGTTTTTTCTGGTCTAGGTTTTCCAGCATGGTCAGACTAGTCTGTTTACTGGTTTTAGTAGTAGTAGTTTTAGTTGTTGTTTTTTCAGCTGGTTAGGCTGGGAGTGAAACTGCCAACGAGGTAAACACCAGTTTTACCCATCTTCAAGTTATAAATGCTTATTTTCCAGCAGAAGCAGTACAGCACAATGCACAATTTAGAATAATTCATATAATAGAATTCACTTGTAAAATTTAGTTAACTTTCAGTCAATTTCTAAAAATGTTATTTTATTTTATTTTTATTTTTTAATTGTGACGGGACTGAATAGTGGCAAATAGCCATTTATGCCCAAAAGATGGCGCCACTGATAAAGAGAAACCCGTGATGCCGTTCATCTCAAATGTTTGTACCTTCGGAACAGTAACCCAGTGGGTATGTCTTGGTTGTATAACAGGAGCAAGATACAATATATTCTACAGCACGAACATGTTAAATAGGCCTACATGAATAAAAAAAATAACATTTTGATATTCATTTGAAAGTTCATATTTAAAAAGTGTTAAGATTCAGATTTGAGATGATTGAGGCGCCTAATAGTGTGTGTTGTGTGCTTAAAGGGGTCATATGATGCTGCTAAAAAGAACATTATTTTGTGTATTTGGTGTAATGAAATGTGTTTATGCGGTTTAAGGTTAAAAAAAACATTATTTTCCACATACTGTACATTATTGTTTCTCCTCTATGCCCCGCCTTTCTGAAACGCGTCGATTTTACAAAGCTCATCGGTCTGAAAAGCGAGGTGTGCTGTGATTGGCCGAATACCTCAAGCGTGTGACGGAAATGTTACGCCCCTTACCATATATGGCGTGTAGCCGGAGCTACAAGACAAAAATATTAAACCCCATTATAAACGAGGCATTTGTTGCATCCAGTGGGGACATAATTACAGATTATAATGATTTATACTGTCTTTTTATGCGTTGCATCGCGCCGCATAAACATAAAACCACGTCTGCATTTGTGATTGGAAAAATGACAAACAGCCAGTGCTACTCTACACTGCTCAAAACTCGCGTTTGAATCATCAGTGGCAAATTCTTTAAATATAAAAAACATACTTACAGTCTGTGAGTCAGAACAGCCG